TGCTTGGGATTAAGGGATCTGAGCCCTTTGGAGCCCCCGCACGAGACTACGCTTGAACGTATATCCATTAGTTACTTTGAATTAGACGCGTCCTCAGGGAACTTCTAAGGACCCCGGGGTCAATTCCTGGTAAGGCGAGCTCAATTCTCTCCTTTGCGAGATGAGTATCTGGGGCATCATTCATTTGGACAATAATACAGCCTGGTTGGCAGGTTTGGATGAATTTAGGACATTCAGAAATACCAGAACTATCTGAAGAAATCCTTCTCGTTTTTACACGAATTGGGACCCGGACGCAGCACTTCTACCTGGATGGGCTTGCTGGACCCTCCGAGAGGTACCTCCCAGACCAAAAGGTCAGGTTCTCTCTGCATTTCCCTTTGTTTGGGTCCCTGGATTTTGTGTTTAACGCCACCGTTTGTTTAGACGGTTCTTTGCCTTTTTTCACCCTTCATGTACCGCTCGGTTGTTGTTGGCATTGGCGGGGTGTATTGGCATTGTTGTTGGCATTGGTGGGGTGTATAAGTCTTTAGGTTAATTTCAGTCGGTAACACAGTGACTAGACAGGGACGTTTGAAGGAATTTGGGGGACCCAAGCAAAATGGACATGGAGGCACCACCAACCCCCACCTCCACCCACCCACACGCACGCAAAGCCTACAGCAACCACAGCATAGCCATACAGTTTAAGTTCACCCACACTTTATATAAATCAAAAAGATTTACAGTGTAAATACTGCTGTTGCATATACTGTGCATAAATAAAAAATGTTTACAGTGCAAATACTGCTGTTGCATATAATGTGCATAACATTTGAACATTTTCAACATTTGAACATTTGCAAAAATCACCACTGTACCATAAAATCAAATATACATTAAAAAAGTACACAATAACTAAATCCAACATACTTAAAGGGACTCTCCAGTGCCAGGAAAACAATCTGTTTTCCTGGCACTGCAGGTCCCCTCTCCCTCCCACCACCCATCCCCAGTTGCTGAAGGGGTGAAAACCCCTTCAGTGACTTACCTGAGACTCCCACCGATGTCCCTCGGCGATGGTTTCGGGTTGCCGCCGCTCCACCCCTTCATCACGTCAGCCAGCGGGGGAGACTGATCCTGCCCACCAGCTGAGGAGACCTCAATACTTTTAAATGCTTTCCTATGAGGAATTGAGCAACACTGGAGGTCCTCACACAGCGTGAGGATGTCCAGCGACGCTCTAGCACAAAACCTGTGCTATGAAGCAGGAAGTGCCCTCTAGTGGCTCTCTAGTAGACAGCCACTAGCGGAGGAGTTAACCCTGCAAGGTAATTATTGCAATAATTACAGTTGCAGGGTTAAGGGTAGTGGGAGTTCTCACCCAGACCACTCCAATAGGCAGAAGTGGTCTGGGTGCCTGGAGTGTCCCTTTAAAACACACACACACACTAACAGACACAAACACTCACATTAACATTTTTCAGTTCAGTTCTCACAACCATGTGCACATTATCTAAAACTGCTCCCCCCTGTCCTTCTTACTCCTTCTTACTCCCTCTCCCTGTGTCCTTCTTACTCCCCCTCCCCCTCCCCCTCCCTGTGTCCTCCTTACTCCCCCCTCCCCTCCCCATGTTTTTACTCCTCTCCCTCCCCATGTTTTTTTTTATTCCCCCCTCCCTATGTTTTTTTTCACTCCCCCCATGTTTTTTTTACTCCCCCTCCCCCTCCTATGTTCTTCTCACCTCCTCCCGTCTCCCCCCATGTTCTTCTCACCTCACCTTCCCTGTAGCGTGGCCAAGCTCTTCTTCCTCCTGTTAGTCAGTTTCCTGTTCCCGGCCGGACTGAAAGGAACTGAGCACTCAGTGTGCACTTCCTGTCAGTCCGGCCGGGAACAGGAAACTGAATTTCCTGTACCGCGCGGTACCCGGCCGGACTGACAGCCAGGAGGAAGAGGAGCTCGGCCACGCTACAGGGAAGGGGAGGTAACGAGAGAGGAGTGCTGCAGCCGCCTGAGACTCTCTATAGAGTGCTTAGGTGGCTGCAGCCCTATAGGAACCACCGGCTCTGCTTGGGGCCCCGGACCAGCTCGGGGCCCCAAGCAATTGCTTGGTTTGCCTGCACGCTAGCGATGGGCCTGAGCATATATAGAAGGAGTGGGTGAGGATTCTAATGGTTGTTTTATTTATTTCAGAGTACCAATAATGCATTGTTTGTACATATATTGTCCACTTTGTAGCATTTTCTATAGTATTTTCCCCCATTTATTTTTCTCTTCTAAACAATTGCTCTTGGTATCACACAGGACTCCTGTGTTTTTAATTTTAATGTTGTACACAGAGGGACTGGGGGATAAAGAGACATAGAGAGGATGGGAAAGAGGAGAAAGATATACATAAAAGGGAGTAAGAAATTCAAGAAGGGATTAAGGGACACACAGTTGAAGATAAGTTTTTAGGTGGCAGCAAAATGCATCTTTGCCCGTGTAGCCAAAATTCCTTGCACCGGCCCTGCAATGGGATGACCCAATATTAAATGTATCATCCAGCACTCATGGGTTTTAGGACAATGGGATGCCCCCCATATTGTTTTACTAATGGGGTACCAGTGACAGGTCTCCCCTTTGTATTTTGCTAGTGACTATAACTACCAATTCACTAGATTGAATTACAGTAAGAATCCACTGGTTGCTCACTGTTGGGTGGGTGCAGTAGGGTGCTATTAAACCTTCCTTATACTAATATGTGGGCTTTCTTTAAAAAAATAATTTCAGTATGCTAGTAAAAGCTATTTTTCTTCTTTTCCATTCTACCCCCCATATTAAAAACGTTTGTTTTGTTTTATGATACGTCTATATGGTGAGTTGTGGGATTCAGATGAATTTTAGATCACCCAATATTTGAGTGAATTGTCATTAAATTGAAAACAAATGCACAAGTCTAGTTTTGAGGTGGGCAGTAGTCTCCAGCACCTTCTTAATTTCTGTGGTTGAATCTTTGGCTGTGGTTAAACCCCAAAGTTGGGGCTCTTGTGTCAAGTGTTTCTGCCTTCCAGCTTTTGTTCCTCTCTTCATGCAGAATGACAAAAGGTTACACACATTTTTATTTTATTTGTGATTAATAGACTGAGAGTGTCTGATAATGCTCTCAGCTTATCAACAACCATCTGATTAACCCATCATAATACTCTGCTTTATCTGTAGTACCTCTATTGATTATGGTGTCAAATGTGCTCTGGTTCCCACGTAAACTGAGTAGTCAAACCATTTTATAACTGTTTAATTTCTTACCTGAGCTCTGCTGGGCACCACTCTCTGCCTCTTCTAAACCCAAATGCTAAACCTGGTGGTACACGATTTGGCTTACGAGAGCTAAAAGAAGCTCCTATCAGGAGGTAGACCCCAGGTAAGAATCCAAACCATTCTAAAATGGTTCAGCTACTTACAATGGGCAATGCCAAGGCAGGCTGGCAGATCCCAGGTAAGAATTCAAACTGTTCTAAAATGGTTTGACTACTTATAATGAGGAATTCCAAGGCACTTCTGGACAGTTTGTCAGATTCAACCTGTCACGGCAAGGGGCATAGTTCATTATCGCACTATGGGATATTGTTCTTTAATGAAATTTGTGTAGAACATTAATGACCTGCCTGCCTGGTGTAGATGGTATTGTCAATGTCAAAAGGGGTTAATTTGATTGCATGGAAGGTCAGAAGGTTTTGTTTTAGCCTTAATTCTCTTTGAAGCTGGGATCCCCCACAGAGGTCAGATGACAGAAGGGGTAATGGAAATTGCATAGGAATGTGGAAAGGGTTTTACCATATGGATGGAGTCTGTGAATTAATCAAAGGCTCTTTAAGGTGTGAGAAGTTGCACATACGTAGCCTGAATGTATCTTCAGCCATATGGCCTCTACCTTTTAATTGATGAGTGGATTTCTTTGACATGTTAATGGCCTTTAGCCTTGTTCCAGTATCATATCCAAAAGAAAAGACATTAATATTTACCCACAGCATAATAAGCTTCATTTCTGTTATATTTGGAATGGGACAAGCACCATCTTCTAAACAAGCCCAAACATGATTGGAATTATGATGTCTGCCATAATGGGTCGCAAGTAAGGTGTACAACATATGTATAGAATGGTAAAATAATTAGAGTTGAGCGGACACCTGGATGTTCGGGTTAGCCGGGTTCAGCCGAACATCGGCAAAAAGTTTGAGTTCGGCCTTGATCCCGAACCCCATTGAAGTCAATGGGGACCCAAACTTTTGGGCACTAAAATGGCTCTAAAAAAATCCTGGAAAGGGCTAGAGGGCTGCAAAAGGAAGTAAAATGGGGGTTAGAGTAGGACAAGTGCCCTGCAAACAATTGGGGTAGCCCCCAAAATATTGGGACATATAAAAAAAGAAAACAAAGAATAAGTGCACTTGAGTATAACAATGGCTGAGTCAGGCCAATATAAATGTGTATTCTCCAAAACTTACAAGTCTGGTGGGATCCATGCCTGGTTCATTTTAATAAATGTGAGCTTATCCATGTTGACTGTGGACAGGCGGCTGCGCTTGTCTGTGATAACGTCCCCTGCCTTGCTAAACACATGTTCAGACAATACACTGGCTGCAGGGCAGGCCAGCACCTCCAAGGCATAAAGGGCAAGCTCAGGTCATGTGCCCAATTTGGAGACCCAGAAGTTGAATGGGGAAGACCCATCAGTCAGTACGTGTAGGCGTGTGCACACGTACTGTTCCACCATGTTGCTGAAATGCTGCCTTCTGCTAAGATGTTCCATATCAGCTGGTGGTGCTGGTTGTTGTGGCGTGCTGACAAGGCTTTTCCACATTTGGGCCATGCTAACCCTACCTTCTGAGGTGCTGGCGGTGCCCCAGCTGTGTTGGCGACCTCTTCCTCCTCGCCTTGTACTTCCACTGAGCCCCGGGCGTAAGTTGGGAATATCCTCAGCAGCGCGTCTACCAGCGTGCGCTTGTAGTGGCACATCTTCCGATCACGCTCCAGTGAGGGAATTAAGGAAGGCACATTGTCCTTGTAACGGGGATCCAGCAGGTTGGCCACCCAGTAATCAGCACAAGTTAGATTGAGGGCAACTCGGCAGTCGTTGCGCAGGCACTTTGGTGACTCTAGATAAGCTCGGGCCGATTGCACGTCCCCATGACAGCGACGACGCATTCGGATGTCTGCCCTATCAACTTTCAGTGGTACTTTCTGTGCCTACCATGGTGACCACAGGTAATGGGCAATCAGGGTTCGATTCTGGAGAGGGAGCCTGAGAAACGGCTACCACATCCAAGGAAGGCAGCAGGCGCGCAAAGTAACCACTCCTTACGCGGGGAGGTAGTGACGAAAAATAACAATACAGGACTCTTTCGAGGCCCTGTAATTGGAATGAGTACACATTAAATCCTTTAACAAGGATCTATTGGAGGGCAAGTCTGGTGCAGAGCGACTGACCCGTGCGTGCTGCAGCTGAAACTCCACTATCGCCTGCTGCTGCTCGCACAGTCTCTTCAGCATGTGCAAGGTGGAGTTCCACCTTGTGGGCACGTTGCATATGAGGCGGTGAGTGGGAAGGCAGAAGTTACGCTGCAGCGCAGACAGGCGTGCAGCAGCAGGGTAAGAACGATGAAAGCGCGCACAGACGGCCCGCACTTTATGCAGCAGCTCTGATATATCCGGGTAGATTTTCAGGAATTTCTGCACCACCAAATTCAGCACATGCGCCACGCAAGGGATGTGCGTCAAACCGGCTAGGCCCAGAGCTGCTATGAGATTTCGCCCATTATTGCACACAACCAGGTCAACCACTCATCGGTCTTTTGTTCCATGCCCGTCCACAGCTTCTGTGCGGTGTGGGGTTTTCCCCCCAAACATATGTGTTTAAAACAGTCTGCTGTCGTTTCCCCCTGGCTGTGCTGAAGTTGGTGGTGAAGGTGTTATGCTGACCGGATGAGGAGGTGATAGAGGAGGAGGAAGCGGAGTAGGAGGAGGAGGCAACAGGAGGCAAAGAGAAAAGCCCTGCAATCCTCGGTGGCGGAAAGACATGTGCCAAACTAATGTCCGCCTCAGGGCCAGCCGCCACTTCATTTGTCCAGTGTGCAATTAGGGAGATATAGCATCCCTGCCCGTGCTTACTGGTCCACGTATCTGTGGTTATGTGGACCTTGCCACAGATGGCATTGCGCAGTGCACACCTGATTTTGTCCGCCAACTGGTTGTGTAGGGAAGGGATGGCTTGCCTAGAAAAGTAGTGGCGGCTGGGAACCACGTACTGTGGGACAGCCACCTCCATCAGGTTTATAAAACTGTCCATCTCCACCAGACGGAATGACAGCATTTCAAAGGCCAGGAATTTTGAAATGCTGGCATTCAGGGCCAGGGATCGTGGGTGGGTAGGGGGGTACTTCCTCTTTCTCTCCAGTGTTTGGGAGATGGACAGCTGAACACTTCCATGGGACAGTGTGGAGATGCTTGGGGACGGTGGTGGATGTGGTGGCGTTGCTGCCACATCCTCTGTTTGCGGGGTGGAAGGTGCCACTGTCACTCCAGAGGTGGAAGAAGAGGCCGATACAGCAGCAGAGGAGGAAGCAGGAGGAGCCTGAAACCTTTCTTGGTTTTTGAGGTGCTTACTCCACTGCATCTCGTACTTCAGACTTTTATGTCTCGCTTCAGGCTCTGATTGCACAGCGCGCAAACCACTCGTGTCTTGTCGTCAGCACATTGTCTGAAGAACTGCCATGCCAGGGATCTCCTTGGAGCTGGCTTTGGTGTGCTCGGTCCCTTGGTGTGGTGGGCAGTAGCAGGCGTACTGTTTAGGGAACTGCCGCTCTGCTTTTGCACCCTGCTCCCTCTTATGCTGGTGCCTCTGTGCGACCACCGCCTCTTCCTCCAAACTGCACAAGTCACTCGCATGACCTTGATTCCATGTGGGGTATAGGACCTCATCATCCTCCACATCATCTTCCACCCACTCCTCAACCCTGCCCTCCTTGCCGGTCTGCACAATTCCGAAAGCCACAGCAGTTGGCACCTGTGTTTTGTCATCATCAGAGACGTGCTGCGGTGGTCCTCGCATGTCCACATCCTGAAACATAAGTGGTTGTGCATCAGTGCACTCAATCTCTTCCACTTCTGGGGCAGGGCTAGTTGGATGGCCCACGGAAACCCCGCCAGCAGAGTCATCAAAATCATAAGAGACTGCTGCATGATTTGTGGCTCAGACTGCTTGGCTGATTTGCAAGGGGTTGCACATAACAGACGCGATCCAGCATATTTAAACGCCAGTTTGAGAAGATCGGATCAAGCTCCTAATGAAGTCTGAAAACGTAGAGGAGATGAAACGAGTTGAGCAGACCCTGACCCTGGAAGGTGTTTTCCGGCTTTTGGTGTGACTATTGGTTCTATTTTCCAACTTGTGGAGCCTGAGGAACTACTGCAGACTGGTACACCCGGGGATTAAGCCCATTTGGAGGCTACAGCTTTTATGCACATATTGATTATTGTCAATTGTGCCACACTGTTTGTGAGTGCTATATTTTACTTTGGTTTTTATTACTGTTAGAATTAAAGTTTGCACTATGAATTTTCTTCTTTTCTCTCTTTTTATGCGAGGGTTTTGTACCGAACAATAAGAGGGTAACTATACCAACATCTAATTTGTGATAAGTGGCGTCCTATTTTCTGTATTAATACTTTGTTATTATACAGTTTCTTGGTTTTGTGCACTGTTAAAGGGATACAGGGAGTGTTCCCACTCTTAGTGGCTTGCCTGCACAACTACGTTACCTAACTGTCCTATTATCCGTTCTTTTGCTTCATTGTTTCTTAACAAATTCTATGTTCTTTTTATTTTACAGAATATTGTTATTTAATCTCCATTCTGGTCTTGAAATTTCAAAGGTGTCTTTAACATCCAAAATGACTGCATTGTGGTCTGACCATGTAATCTCATTTATTATAATTGTTTTTGTTTGTTGCGCTAAATTGATATCCCCCAACACAAAGTCTATGTGGGAATATGCATATTAAAATTTTGAAAAACTAGTAAAGTTTAAGTCTGTTGGAAGGAGAGTCGCTTTTCTTGTTTATTCTCTTGTTTCTTGTCTCTCTTTGTTGCGTTCCTTGGATCATTGGTTTTTTTAGTTGCCAATTAGTAGATCTGTCCTTAGAGTGGGAGAGAAAAAAAAAAAGAACTAACTACAAGTGAGGGAGATTCCCTTCATGTAATCACTATATTTTGATATAGGAGTATATTTGTTACTTTTAACTATTTGCTTATATTATTTTCCTTTTCTTCCTTCCTTTCTTTGCTCTTCCCTTCAAGGGGGGCTTTTCTTTATCCTTATTAGGTTTATTAGACTTAAATATTAGGAAAGATTCGTACGACTGGTGCTGATTGTCCAACAGCCCCTAGGGGCTGTAAGGTAACCTAAGACATATCCGCTTAATTGGCTATTTTTATTTCTTTATTTATTATTATTTTTTTAGATCTATCCTTTTTTAGCCAATTTTTGTGACCACATTCTTTTCATTTATATTTTCCAGCAGTCAAAATATTCCCTGAGTGAGTGATCCTTTATGAATCAGTATCAGGGAGCTAAGTTTGATTCTTAGTTTCCTCCTTTACTTCTCTCTCTCACCTTGTCCCTCTCTTCACCTTTCCAAATATGTTCCATTCTCTTTCTTCAGATTCAAGAGTATATATATATATATATATATATATATCACTTTCAGATGATTACTTGGGATCTCCTTATCCTTTTCTCTTTCCCCTCCCTTCTCCCTTCTCCCTTCTCTTTTTCCTCCTTTCCCTCTCTCCTTCTTCCCTTTTTTTCCCTCTTTTTTCTTCCATTCTCTCTTTCTTTTATTAGGATGGAGTTCCTCTTTTCCTTAGATGGATCTGATGGGCTTAAGTAGTGATAAAATTTGTCAGTTTTATAGCTTGTTTTTTCCAAACTTCACTCTCCTTACAGTTATATCGCCACTGACCGGAATACCCACATCTATTTGTTTTTATCACCTTTCGACATTTAATTCAGCAAATGGTTTTTGTATAGATCTTGATTGTAGTAAGTAGTTAACTTTAAATCAGTTATGTTGGGGTTACTCTTGTTACCTGAAGAGATTAATTAGTACTTTTGCAACTCCTTAAATATTGTGCTAAGTTGTATTTGGTGGGTTTTTATTATTAAGTTTACCGTGGGGACCAAGGCACCCCATTTATGAATTGTCTTGGTGGTGGCAGTGTTAAAATAGTAATAGGTATATTATTATGTTGAAGTGTGGGTGGTGTTAAGGGGAATTTTGTAATTATTTCCCGTCTAGTGCAGACAAAAAGTGAACTTCAACCCTTTCACCACCACAACTATGTCATGCACACTCTTGAAGTAGGGTGCATTCGTGTCACAACTAGAGATGAGCGAACCTGAACTGTAAAGTTCGGGTTTGTACCGAACATTACGATTTTTTGACTGAACCCGGACATTTCAGTAACAGTTCGGTGTTCAGGGGTTTAATGGCGCATTTTGAAGAGCTGCAGGGCAGCCAATCAACAAGCGTTTGACTCGTGTGTCCTTAGAAGCCATCACAGCCATGCCTACTAATGGCATGGCTGTGATTGGCCAGTGCATGTGAGCCAGCCTCTATATAAGCTGGAGTCACATAGCGCCGCGCGTCACCTGAGCTCTTATTAGTGTAGGGAGAGGATGCTGCAGCTGTGAGGGACAGATTAGGAAATAATTATTTTGTTGAATCTGCAAACTACAGCGATTATTTTTGTGGGTGCTATACTACATTTTTGTACCTTGCCCTGAGCCCAGTGCCACTGAGAAAGAAGAAATCAGTCTGTTTGTTAGGTGGGCACTTGCAACTGCATGTGTGCTACGCACATTACTTTAACCACTTAAGGACACATCTTCTGGAATAAAAGGGAATCATGACAGAATATTTCCGTCATGTATCCTTAAGTGGTTAATCCTGTTCTGTAGCTCAGTGGGCAACATCTAGGCATTTTTAAATACTGCTGTGACATTGCAGTTTGACAAATTCAAATTTTTTGGTGCTAAAAAGTAAATTTGTGGCGTGCACTTCATATCTGAGAGTCAAATAGAACCGTCAAATACTGTGGTTACATCGCACTTTGAAAAATTCAAATTTTTTGGGTGCTAAAAAGTAAATTTGGAGCGTGCACTTCACATCTGAGAGTCAAATAGAACCGTCAAATACATGGTTCCTATTCAAGGATTGATATGTGTTTAGCC